ACCAAAATAAACATTATTTGCCAAAGAAAATGCACCAGAATATCTTTTCTATTTTTTCTCTGCATTATTTTATTTCAATATCTAACATAATTAGATATTATTTCATATACTAATAAAAACATCTTATATTGACAGAAATTATTCATAACTTTGATTTTTAATACCTAAGTGATAATCCAGGAACTGGATTTGCCATAAGAGGAACTGGATTCCTGATAATTTATCATTTAGTTTGCAAATGATTTTTTCATCATTTTAGAAAACATAGTATTGAGATGAACCTCTTAATACAGAAGGCACTGACAGCTTGAATTACATGATTATATTTCACTCATTCATTCCTTTACCAGTATTGACCATGCACCCACTATTGCTAGGTGGTCCAAAGATGAATATATCTTTCATTCAGAGAACTCACAGTCCATCTAGTGGAAGTCAGATAATAATAAAATCACCATACTCAGTGATAAAGGAAGATATAGAAAGTCTTCCAAGGATATGCCTTGGTGCAAAGGCACCCACATGCCAAGTGGAAGGCTTTCTTGGAAGTGAAAATGTTATTACTAGAGTGTAAAATATGAGGATTGGTGGGTGGGAAGTGATTTGATCAGAAAAGTAGGATGAAAGCCAATTCATGAAGGTCCTTGAGTGTTATGCTAACAGTTAAGTTAAATTTAACTTGACAGCTATGGGATCTCATTAAAATATTTGCATGCATATAAATGGCAAGATCAGATTAGTTATATATTAGGTGTTGTGAACAAAGCAAAGTAAATTATTTTCATTAAAATAAAAAAATGAACTAGTCATTTTAACACTCAGACAATATCCTAAGGGAATAACATTTTTTAATGTAAAAAAAGGATAAAAAGTAAATGGCATACATGATTTTGAAAGTTCTTTAAGTTAAATAAATGTAGGTGTAAAAAATAATCCGCATTTTACAAAGCTCGAGGAAGCGCTCAGAGAAAATCCTTCATCCTCATCAAAGTATACTTACTTTTGGTTCTCATTCTTACTGGCTATTGTTAATCCAATAGAAAATTAATACGTAGAAATTTTAAAAGAAAATTGTAAAAATTATAAAGAAATTTACAAACACACACAGACACACACACACACCCAGTCTCTGTCTTATAGAGTTCTATAATTTAATTTAAAATTTTAGAATGTTAAATCATGTATAGAAAGTTTCAGTTATTCTTATTGAAACACTGAACCCACAACCAAGAATATGTTTCAGCAATTACAATGCAAGTTCTAGGAATGTGATATACCTCAACAGAATTTAGTTTTATTTTGAAATATCCATTTTATGAGTTAAATACAGAGTATATATTTTATAGTGAAAAGTGTCAGCTTATCTGTGAAACTGGAAAAGGCAGCTCACTTGATATAATGTCTAGTCTTTGTTAAATTTCCAAAGCACAAAGAATTAATAAATAAAAGTTAACCTTCATTTTCAGATATTGCAATTCAATAGAGATGAATGCATAATGGTTATTTTATATTTATAATTGTATTCAAAACATCCAGACAGATTTCCCCAAGACTAATTTAATGGGAATGACCAAGAGGTGAAGTTAATCACCATAAAGCAAGTAATACTCTGTCAACAGCCTACAGCTCTCATAATTCAGGCAGAAGGTCAGTTATTTCATCACTTTCCGTTTGTCCCTAGGTGCCACAGTATTGGATGCATTGTAGATACGGCTATTGGATACTAGAATGGAAATTTCCTGTGTTGGCTGGGACATTTAAATATACAAAAGAAAAACTCAAACAATAACATTTCCATATGGCTTTAAGATCTTAGTTGTATTTTCATAGGCGTAACGCGTCTGTCACTGAGCAATGAGTTTTTTTCTAATTCTATTGTTTTTGTTCAATGAAATTTTTAAAAAGAGCTAAGCTTCCCCTGGCTGCCAAAAACCTATGATGTAGGAGTCCTTTCTTACAATGTCAATAAAAATGTCTCAATTCATACTCATGCACTTTCACACTTTCTTAGAAAACCACTAACGTGTCCCTAAAATGATGCCGATACCTGTATCCCTTTTGATATGACAATACTTATAGTTAAAAAATTCTTTTTCAGTATCTCAGTACATAAGCAGTGGGCTCATGTAACTAAGGTTAAAGATTTTCTGAGGATGGGGAAAAAAGCATTATAATCAGCCTTGGGTTGTTTATTCTGTGACTACATATATGTTCAGCAAAAGCTTTCTGGAAAATGCCCATCATGTTTTTGTGTTGCAGTAGGCAAAATGTTATCATTTAAATGAATTTAGGCAACTGCATCTATTCTGTAAAAGTGTCAAGGCTTCAAGTTAAATTTTAGAACTAACATTTATATTTCTTAAAAGTAGTATTTACTTTAATCCTGCTTTTGGCTATCACATCATAATAATGTAGAAATAATACCTAAGCTAGCATTATACAAAATCTGCATAATATCTATTTGATATGTACTTCAGGTCCTAAAAGAGCCCTTGAAGCATAGGAAGCTAAGAGGAAGCTGACCAAAAATCAAAAATCTGTCCCAAAATTTTACATTTAGGTAAATCTTACCTCGTGAGGCCTGTTTTCTCCATGTGGGAAAAAAAAAAAAAAAGAGCTTAATGTCATTTCTGCTTCTCCAGCAGTTTATCTGAAAATTATTTGAAGTTGTTGGGTTTTGAGCACTACTGTGATTAAGTCTTAATCTACACCTCATCCTTCTTGACCTACCAAGGAATAGCATGGACAGCTTCTAAGTGTCTGCCAGGGACATGAAAGACTGCCTTTCCTCTACAAGTTAACATCAGGTCACCTTGTTGCATGAGCTGCAAAGGTTCGCTCAAGAGGACCTCAGAGGGTGTAGCTCCCATATTCAGGCAGTTTGTGCACTGCATAAAGTCTTCAGCCAAGGGGACTGCAATCCAGTCCATGTTCCATTTGCCAAGCCATGCTGCCTGCTATGGGGCCACCTCTATGTGGAGGATGAGTACTGTTTTCTAATTCATCTGCCTATAGGCCATGATTTTTTTCCTAATCCACTTTTTAACCTGTGGTTGGATGTCATCTCAAGGCCCTCCCCATTGTTGGCCCACCAGTGTACACTTCTGGAATGCCATAGGGTACTGGTAGGAGGCATACCTCGTTCCACTCAAAGGAAAGGGCCTGTTACCTGCCTGACACTCTTGTCTATATTGAGCTCCCATAGAATAAGTTGCATTCCATCAGTACTCCAAGATTTCCTATAAAGGGAATAACTTAGCCAACATTATGTTATCACTGTTGATAGAACTAAAGGTCCAAATGGTTTTAATAACATGACATGCAATAACCACAGAATAATTATTTAATTTACACATGTATACAAATGCAGTTGTGTTTTTATACTACAAATTGTGGTAGGACTATGCTCAGAGCTGTTGAGAGGAAATCAAGGAAAGACTCTGAACCTAAAGCTATTATTTTGCTTTTTACTTGGCCACCCAGTTGTCTCTTACCATCTCCCATTCAAACTAAAGTAAAAGGTATTCCAAAATTATTCAAAGTGCCTCTCTACATCCCTTCCTTCCTCATTCTTGATGCCAGCAGCTCTCTCTGTTAATTGAGGGGCAGAATGACCTCTCTGCCACCAGCCCAGCTTTTCTTGTTTGCTATTACTAGCATGAATGCTCTAAGCTTCCTAATTATCATGCATGTCAGTCATAGAACCTTAACTAATGGGCCTTTCAATAGTGAACCAGCAGCAGACTTATGATGTCGTCTTACTTCTTCATGACCCATCTGGCTTCAACATTTTGGGCTGATTTAACTATCTTATAGTGTCAAACAATGAATTAAATAAGATTATTACATCTTATACAGATGTGTATCTTTTTCTACTCACAAGAAATTTACATATAAGACTTTTTCAAAGAGAAACAGAAATTAGCACATACTTACTAGACATTTTACTTGTAAGATGAATAATATAACTCCTGTAAAGGAAGTGTGCTTACAGGGCTGTGTAAGCAAAGTGAATACAGCATAGAAATTGTCATTTTTACATCCTATAATCAAACTTTATCATACTAGAGAAAGTAGAAAAGTAAGTTTTCTGAAATCCGGTAAAAGATGGTAAGAGTCCCATGTCTTTTCTTACAGATGATGACAATCATTTGGGTAAAGATTTCTAGAATTCTTGGGGTCTTTATTAGAGGTGATAAGAATAAAGGTCTGAGTTATACTCACAATAAATGTGCTTTCCATACCTTATTATAAAGCACTAATGATGTACAAACCAAATGGTAAAAATGTGCACACATGTTTATGTGCTTTTAGGAAGGCGTATTAGGGAGATTTAACTTTATGGAAATATAGCTTTCCACCACTTAATGCTGAAAGATGGCCACAATCCTTTACAATATCTTCAGTTTGTATCTTGCTAATTTATGTTGTCATGATCACTTTGTATATAAAACTTGACATTTAATTTCTAACAAGGAAAATTTATTACTCATCCCTTTTAAGCCTAGAGGTACGTTTTGTTATGTAAATTTTAAATAATATCTTCACTGTTCTAAAATTTGTTTAAAATATCTTTGAAAAGTATAGTAACATGTAACAAACCTGCAGGTATACCCCTGAATCTAAAATAAAAGTTGATGGAAGAAATAAGACCTGGTGCTCAATAAATCAATGGAGTGACTATAGTTAACATTAATAAATTGTACACTTCAAAATAACTAGAAGAGAATAATTCAAATGTTCCTAGCATAAAGATAAATATTTAAATGATGGATTCCAACTTACCCTGATTTTATTATATGAATGTATCAGATTATCACATATACCCTGAAAATGTGTACATCTAATATGAATCAATTAAAAAATTTTACTAAAATAAAAATTGAATTTATAAAAAGGTTTTTTAAATAAAAAATAAGCACAATAAGCCTATGAACACCTCCTAAATCCATTACATGAAGGCCTATAATAATATTTCTTTGTTTGTTTGTTCTTTTCAGGAGAAAGGAAGACAACGGTGTCCTGCACAAAAATCATGAGCAAAAATATCAGCATTGTGGACAACAAGAAATGCAAATACTTAACCAAGCCAGAGCCACAGATTCGAAAGTGCAATGAGCAACCATGTCAAACAAGGTAACCCTATTCCAGCGACCCTTAAAGCATTATTTGTCCATTAAATTGCTGTCCTTTAAAACATGCTCAGAATATCATTGAAATCACATTTTCTTAAAAACATTGCCAAAGGATACGTACCAAAATGTAAGGTATTAAATAAGCAAGATCTAAGAAAGCAAGGCCAAGAATTTTCCACTTAAGGAAGGGGTATTGGGAGGGACGGTTGCTGAGGAGTAATTAAAACCACTTTTTATTTAAAATCATTTCATAAGCTCTAGGTCCCCTCTTCAAAAACCTTGTTATTTGGTTGAACATAGCTGTTTGCTCCTGAATTCTCCAAAATGGTGTGTTAGAATTTGCCAACAGTAACATGAACCAAACTAGGACTGCCATGACCCAGAGCCCAGCAGAACAGGACCAGTGTAGTGTTTCCGATTTCTCTGGCTAATTTCTCACTTCCTAGCCAGAGTTCCCAAAGCAAACTGCCCAATCCCTGATCTCTCATCACCAACTTTCTGACCCGGGTCCCAGTTACTGTACCACGGATGCTTTGGTTTCCTCTGACACTCCCCAATGAGTATTAGGTAACAAAGCAGACAAGAAATTCACAAGTAGAGGACAAAACAGCAATGCTGAGCAGCTGTAACTGTAATAGGAAGAAAGAAGTCCATGCTTTAGTTATTGGAAGTTGGGACAAAGACAGATGAGTGGAACCTGAGTGTAATTTTGGACCAGCCTAGCAACGAGGCTACTTGGCATGGCTGCCAACACAGGCCTCCAATCTACCTGCTTTCACATAAAAATTAAGGCTTAGCTTGATTGGGACTCAGCCCTGGTGTCCAAAATCCTGAAAACTTTTAGGAATGGGGTGACAGAAAGAGTGAGGCTGGATTGATTCCTTGGAATATTGGGACAGGAATATTTATTTTGTCCTGACACTCAGGAATTTGTTGAAGCCCAGTGAGTGAGGACGTAGTTGTAAGTTCTTAGGTAGTCAGAGCATTGATCTTCCCCTCATAAGAGCTTCTGTAATGCCTTCATGGTGAATTTACACATCCTACAATTCAGATAGGCAGATAATTTGTCATTTTATAGCAGTTTATAACTGATATAACTGTCTTCATGGCCATCTACCACAAAGAGTAGGTATGGGGGAGGTAAGAGGGAGAGGAACAAAGTTGCTAATTAACCATATTTGAGCTTTTCTTTCTTAATCTCTTTGGGGATTAGTGTCATGCAGACCAATCTTAGTCCTGATTTCCCTATTCACACCCCCCATGGAAACTCAGTTACTAAAGCCCTCTAAATCTAGCCATGCTATGTTAATGAAAGCTTAAAAGAATTTGGGATCACCTGAGGTTGGAAGTTTGAGACCAGCCTGACCAACTTGGAGAAACACCCTCTCTACTAAAAATACAAAATTAGCCAGGCATGGTGGTGCATGCCTGTAATCCTAGCTACTCGGGAGGCTGAGGCAGGAGAATCACTCGAACCCGGGAGGTGGAGGTTGTGGTGAGCAGAGATCGTGCCATTGCACTCCAGCCTGGGCAACAAGAGCAAAACTACATCTAAAAAAAAAAAATTTTTGGAAAATACTTCATCTACAAAGTTTGAATTTCAAGGTTTGCTTTCTGTAGATTCGATATATTTTAGATACTGTAAACCAAAATGTATCTGACACAGGTCTCCTATCAATTTAGAAGCTTATGTTGCCAAAGTTGTGGATCGTGACCCATGACATGGTCTCACATGGCCCTGAGAACATTTGCTGAAGGTGACTGGGTTACAGCTTGGTTTTATGTGTTTTAGGAAGATGTAAGATATCAATCAATACATGTGAGGCATAACTTGGTTTGGTCTAACTCGAAGCTGTTGGGGGAGGGGTGACTTACAGGTCAAAGGTAGATTCAAACATTTTCTGATTGGCAATTGGTTGAGGGTTAAATCATTATCTGAAGACCTGGAATCAACAGAAAGGAGTGTCTGGGTTAAGATAAGGGGTTGTAGAGACCAAGGTTCATATTATGTAGATGAAGTCTCATAGGTGGCCAACGTCCAGGGGCAATAGATGGCAGTATTTCCTCTTCAGACCCTTAAAATGTGCTAGACTCTCAGCCAATCTCTAAAGTATCAGCAAAAGGCCTGGAAAGGGAAGGGGATTCTCTATAGAATGTCAGTTTCCCCAACAAGAGAGAGCTTTGCAGGGCCATTTCAAAGTATGTCAAATTTTGGGGTAAAATAGTTTGATTTCTTTGAGGACCCTGCTATCTGTCTTGTGATATTATAGTAGAGTCAAGTTGGAATTTAGTATCTTTTGCTACAAAGAGTCTATTCGGTTAGTCTTAGGATCTCTGTTTTAATGTTAATGCTGGTCAGTTGTAAGCCTGAGCTCCAAAGGACGGAGAGTAATAATGAGGCATGTCTAACCACCCTCCTTTCATATAATGGTCTGAACTAGCTTTTCAAATTTAGTTGTGTCCCCTTAGCTAAGAGAGGAGGGTCCATTCAGTCAGCTGGGGGGCTTAGAATTCTATTTTTGGTTTATAGTAGTAGAAGCTGATTATCATCTTTTCCTGTCTTTTGCATTCCTGCTCTAACAATCCTGCCCCAGGCAAATGTCTGCTTTAAAAGAACAGGAAGAATGATATATAAAAGGATGTGCATAAGAGAAAAGTACATGAACATACCTTCAGTAATGTCACGTTCTTTGCACCTTCCTGGGTGCAGGCTTTTCAGCCTAACTGCATAAGTGTGTGAACTAGTAAAGCCTTTTCATGATACAGAGTAGTAATGAGGTACAGTGACCTAGGGAATTATCCTTGCCTACCTTCAGGTCCTTGGATCATTTCCATTCAGTGCTGGACAGATACATAAAGTAACATTTTTGGCCTTGGCCCTGTCAGCTAAAGAACCAGGATCCTTACTGTTACTGCTGTTCCTCAGAATTCTCTATCCCCTTTAATAGATATTAAGATGCTAAATTATCTTGTGTTAAATAATATTAAAATACTTCAAAACATAATTTGTTTCATATTGCCATATAGTTGTTCCAATTTGGTGAAAGAGCCATGGCTTTTTCTGATACATCAGAAATCTTGAATGAACTGATTTGAGGACTAGAGCGTATTTGTTGTTTCCCAAGTTGGTCTGTGAAGGAGCAGAGTGTACAGTACAACACACTATTTATTTTTCATTCCCTGACTTCAACTATCTTGGAGAAAAACGTCTCAATAATGACTTGGTAAAATGAATAGTTTTAAAAGGTCAGTACATTTCTGAGTGAGAAATTTTTGCAGCTGGAGACTGGAAGTCTTTTTGTTAGAGATTGTTATCTCCCTTCCCTTGGAAAAGGAGGCAATTTATTTTGAACCACGAAGCTGTGATGTTAGTGAGGTTAAGCAAAGTATTGGAAAGAAAGAAATGAACATGGGCAATTACTAAGGGTCACCACAGGAAAACTTTCCAAGACTTACTGGAAGAGTACATCCTTTATTCCTCCTGTCTTTCCCCTTTCTCCAACTTAGTAAAAATTTCTAATTTCCATTAACATTTATTGAGAAAGTCACTAAATGGCCTGATGGCATTCTGTGGGCCAAATATAAAATAGATGAATTCACTAGTAAATACCTTTGTAAGTAGAAGGTCTCTTAGAGATAAGGAAATGGGATCCTTCCAAATTAGGTAAGTTCTAAACCACGAAAATGTTTCATTAGAATACATTTTATATTTTAGTTCTTATTTTTCAGTGGTTTTCATAAGGAATAGGAAAAGTAACTTTTTATGATTATATTGAGGATCTCAAATTTTTATTTTACTTAAAAATATGAGATTCCATGAAATTACAAATAATTCTCTTTTCAGTACAGAAGAACCCAGTAGTGTCTACTGAGTTCCATAGTTGGAAAAAATACGTAGATGAACTTAGATTGGGATTATTTTCTGGATATTCTCTTACAGAAATATGAAGCAGAAACTAGACTAAATTTGTAAGATATGCACTTTAGGAGAAATCCACCAGGGAACTCCAAACAAAAATGGCAGATCTGCAACATGCTGGATAGACCAGGAAAAAATAACCTTGTAAAGCCTTCTATTTCCTTTCTCAGAAATAGAAACATAAAATCATTTACAATTAAACTAACTTACAGATGAGATTTACTAGGCTGTAAGAGGATGTAACTCCTCAAAATGTGGATCATTGCTAGGAATACTTGGTTTTGGTAAATCTGGAATAATTAAGGTTACTTCTGTAAAGCAGAGAGAAACATAAATTCCATTTCAAGAAATGTTTACGGCTGGGCACGATGGCTCATGCCTGTAATCCCACCTCTTTAGGAGGCCAGAGCGGGTGAATCACTTGAGGTCAGGAGTTCAAGACAAGCCTGGCCAATATGGTGAAACCCCTTCTCTAAAAATACACAAATTAGCCGGACATGGTGAAATGCCCATAGGCCCAGCTACTTGGGAGGCTGAGGCAGGAGAATGGCTTGAACCCAGGAGGCGAAGGTTGCAGTGAGCCAAGGTCACGCAATTGCACTCCAGCCTGGGCGACAGAATGAGACTTCATCTCAAAAAAAATAAGATAAAATAAAATAAAAAATAAACTTTTTATGAAAAGCTATTATGTAAAAGTGTTATGGATGCTAACAAAAAAAAAACATTGATATATACCTTTGAGGAACTTATATATTACAAAGAAAAGAAGGCCAAATTCATTAGGTAGCCTTTGAGCCCCTCTGCTTCCCTAGGGAATATCTAGTAAGTCATGTGAGTGCTACAAGCCAGGTGATAGAAAGCAAAGAAAAGGTCAGTCCCCATTAGTTGAATGGAGAAGCCCTTCTAGGAGGAATGGGCGTGGGGCTGGCTGTCAAGGATCCAGGCACAGGATGTAATGAGGTGAAAATAGAAAGTGTTTGGTAAGCAAGATGAGCATATGGTTTATTTTCCGAACAAGTGGGAGACGAAGCTAGAAAAATATGTGAGTAAGTATGAATCATTTTAAATGGAACATTTTAAATATGCTCCAGTGTCTATGATCATATCAAAGCTAGACATTGGCTAGCCTAAAGAAGCATATGTAGCTCCATGTGGGAGGATATAGCCTGGTCACAGAAATCTAGTTGCTGCTGAGTGTCATACCTTGGTGATTGCTTTGTCCAGGAAAGAGGCCAATCACAGGCTTCTGTTACTTTGCTAATACCCCCACATCTCTCACTGTTAAGTAGTCTACAGCCTCATTTGAATTGTTGGTGCCACAACTTTGTGACCTTTGATAAGTTATTAAGCCTCTGTGTGCCTGAGTTTCCCTTTCTGTAAATTTGGCCATGATAGTTGTGATACCCAATACATAGGGCTATTGTAAAGATATAAATTACAAAGAATAAGAATAACTCCTGGATATTAGCAATTTTATACTTACAAAGTCCCACAGTATAGTGATATGGTAAGCAGTGAAAGACAGTTTATAATATGACATGGACAGAGTCTGATGGACACTGAGATTCTAATAAGAACAAGTTCCTGAGACAAGAAATACAGAGCATTCAAAGCAAGAGGAAGCCTGGGCGTCTTGGAGAAAACTATTGTGTTTGGTTAAAAAAAAAAAAAAGTATAATGTCACCGTCTAACATTCTGCTAACTCTAGACATGTCAAAATATATGGTAGTGATATGGTTTGACTGTGTCTCCACCCAAATCTCATCTTGAATTATAGCTTCCGTGATTCCCACATCATGGGAGGGACCCGGTAGGAGGTAACTGAATCATGGGGATGGCTCTTTCCCATGCTGTTCTCATGATAGTAAGTCTCAAGAGATCTGATGGCTTTTATAAAGGGGTGTTCCCCTGCACATGCCCTCTCTTGCCTCCTGCCATATAAGATGTGTCTTGCTCCTCCCTGCCTTCCACCATGATTGTGAGGCCTCCCCAGCCACATGGAACTGTGTCAACTGGACCTCTTTCCTTTGTAAATTGCCCAGTCTTGGGTGTGTCTTTATTAGCAGTGTGAGAACAGACTAATACAAATACATAGGTATCTTTTAACTTGTTTCCAGTGACTTTTGCTTTACTTTCAGGTGGATGATGACAGAATGGACCCCCTGTTCACGCACTTGTGGAAAAGGGATGCAAAGCAGACAAGTGGCCTGTACCCAACAACTGAGCAATGGAACTCTGATTAGAGCCCGAGAGAGGGACTGCATTGGGCCCAAGCCCGCCTCTGCCCAGCGCTGTGAGGGCCAGGACTGCATGACCGTGTGGGAGGCGGGAGTGTGGTCTGAGGTGCATACATGCCCCATTTCTATTCCCGTTCCTACTCTGACTCTTAGCTTGTACAAGATCAGGTTGGATCATGTTCAGAATCTGCACGGAAGTTGATATTTTTCTATACGCTTTATTAATTTTGTTAATGATTAAAGTAATACATTCAAATAATTTTGAAATAGAAAAATACAAAGGTATTTACTTTCTATTCTATAAATATTGCAACATAATCAAGGGCATATTTTATATACATTTTAAATTCTGCATTTTTACTTATATACTGTGACTACACTCTTGAGTTGGCACATATTAAAATACACACTTAACTCATTGCATATCGCTGAACATTTAAAATGGAAAGAAAGAAAATTAACATTTAATTATTATATGTGAACAAGGAGTACATTTTTACTTAATGTTTAGTATATTGTTTATATTTAATCACCTGTGCAGGAAACTTAAGCTTCATCATTTTATAAGTAAGAGTAATATAGCTCAGAGAAAGTAAATAGTTTACCCTAAGTCCTACCTAAGTGGTAGAGCTGGGATTTGAACCCAAGGTTGTTTAACTCATTGCACCCTCCCAACCCCTACAGGTTTGTAGTGTATAACATACAGTTGTGTTCCATGCCAAACCATAGTGATTTATTTTCTGTTATCATGATGCATATCTTTGCATAATAATAAATGGCACTCACGACTTACACTTAGTGGTTGCTCTGAAGCACTTTAGGTGAGGGTCTGGCTGCATTTACTCATATAAACATACTTACATACTCATATTCACACATGTACCAACACAGCTACACACACAAAAAGGAAAATCATCCATCTATGTAATTTCAAAATATTAGATAGGATGCAAAAATGATAATTTAAAACTACTGTATTGAAGTAGCTACTCTTTTGAAAATGAGGATAACATAGCTTAGATAATACAGTTTCTAAATATCTTTCAGTTAACCCAACCCCCTCCAAAAAGCACATTCACAAAAATCCTGGGTTTCTCTTTTCTTACTATTCTAGGTTATACTGTTTAATGGATTCTTTTTCATTTATAATGTATACTTTTGAAAATGAATGCCATATCACATCTTACATTGAAATGAATCAGTTCAATCTGGAGAGAAGAATCACATGAGCATAGAGAAACAAAATACCCCATCCCAACCCAATCAAAACATTTTTGCAAACTCTTCAGGAGAAAATTGATCAGAAATATTCTACTATACAGAATTTTGGCACCAGCTGAGAGAAATAATATGTCACAATGCAATATGCCAATTAAAAAAAGGTTTATTGTTTTAGTTTAAGTTAAAACTCAATTTTATGAATCAGACATAGTTTGACTCACTATATATATATATAGCGACTCGCTATATATATACATATATATATATATATATGTGTGTGTGTGTGTACTAAAGTGCCAAATCACATAGTTCACTTTAAAAACTGAGCATATTCAAATGCAAACTTTAAGTTATAAGACAATTACTTACTTGTGCAAGATTTAGTATACCTATTTAAAATGTCATTAGTTCCATGCTTAAGCTTTCAGGACCACAACTGTCATTAAAGCTTGCCAACATGAGCAAGGGGAGGAGCTCAGCTTCTGCTCTCCTCAGGACTCAGAGCTATGATGTGGAAATCAGCATGATTATTCCTATATGATATCATTGATGAATATATACTGCAACCCTTTCTTTGGACCTCTTCTATACACAAATATAAATTGGACTTTCAAGTTTTGTTATATCTGGTATGCCCCACACACATATCCAGAGCAATTTTGGTCCCAATGTCCAGGTAGTCAGTGGTGCTTGCCTTTGGACAACAATTATAATTTCTAGGAGTATATAGTTATATAAAGAAATTCTAAATTTTGGCCAGGCACGGTGGCTCACACCTATAATCCCAGCACTTTGGGAGGCCGAGGTGGCTGGACCATTTGAGGCCAGGAGTTCAAAACCAGCCCAGCCAACATGGCAAAAACCCATCTCTACTAAAAATACAGAAATTATCCAGGCATGGTGGTGTATGCTTATAATCCCAGCTACTTGGGTGGCTGAGGTAAGAGGATCACTTGAATCCAGGAGATGGAGGTTATAGTGATCCAAGATCATGCTACTGCACTCCAACCTGGGCAACAGAATGAGACTCCATCTCAAAGAAGAAAACAAATTCTAATTTTTATTTTTGCTAAGATTTTCTCTATTTCATCTTTGAAACATGTTTTTGAGAAATGACATGCTGGGGAAATTGTCATTTTTCACAAACATGTCTTCCATCTAAATGAAAGAGTACATCTTAGAAAAAGTAAAGTTAATTTTTTTACATAATTATATTTAAAATGTGATATCAAATTTTAGTAAATTTAATTTTTATCATACTGTATTTATCTTTTCCAGATAATCCCTGTTATATTACTCTCTGTAATAATGGTTCAGTATTCCTGAAACCACTTATCTCCAGCATTGTGCCTTAAGCTCCTTCTAGCATCAGATACTGGTGCTTAGCCTGTTGTTACCTTTAAACTTATTTATAATTTTATCTGGCTTTTATATGGGTGATGGGCTCATGAGAGATTATTGGAAACCAATACTTAATTGAGTCTATCATCTATATCTCCTATTCACCAACTTTATCTAAAACCTCTGATGTTATCTTCTAGTGTTCAGTCAAGTGTGGCAAAGGCGTACGTCATCGGACCGTTAGATGTACCAACCCAAGAAAGAAGTGTGTCCTCTCTACCAGACCCAGGGAGGCTGAAGACTGTGAGGATTATTCAAAATGCTATGTGTGGCGAATGGGTGACTGGTCTAAGGTGAGAACCACTCTGTATATTCTCAGTAATAGGTTTCAATAATGTCCGCATTGCCCTGGGTACTATAACCACATAGCATGGAGTTTAGGAGGGAAGGAGAATAGAATTAAACATCATGGGATATGGAGCATTATATACCACATCCAAGTGCAGATTCTGGCTGGCTGTCCATGGTCATGATCTCTATAAAACTGTGTTAAAAATTAAGATAAAATGTACAAAGCACTTAGCACCACACTTGACACAAAGGAAGCTCTCAGAAAATAGTAACTATCGTTATTGCTGTTTTGTTAATTTTTATTCATATAGTTCTTTCTCAGAATATTTTTTCATAAAACTTATCTAAATAAATAGAATACTGTCAGATAAGTCAGTTCAAAATATAATTAAGTAAGGTAGCAGAAGAACCAAATAAAGGGAACTCAGCTCTTACTAGATAAAAGGCAGTCATTTTCCCACCAATTTTGGGAGTTGTGTATGGTAGAAATGGAAAGGAACAAAAATGTTGACATCCTTTGGTCAAATCAAGTGAACACAATTTATATGGCAAATGAACAGTAAGTTTAATTCACGATAATAGTGATGCCTATTTAAAGTTTATATGAGAAAAGTAGAGCCTCATATAGGGCTTTAGAAAATACCTGACCTGTTCATTCTATGAAATACTAATAAACCCCATGTTTTAAGGTAAAATTCTGATCATTTTTGGGTGAAAATAGATTTCACCTGTTATTTTTCGGAAGTGTAAATATGAATCAATGATCCCACTTTCAGCCATGATATTACATACTGACTGTCATGAAATCATAAAATTCTAGGGCTTAGTTCCATGCTCAGATGGTCATAATGATTTAGATGAGACATAATAAATCCTCTCTCCTTTCTCTTTTATTGTATAAAAGAGAAAAGAAAGTGATGGTTGCTGAGGTATGGAGAGGAGTATAATAGTTTTTCATAAATAACCCTACAGGGCTTTCTGGGAGAAATATTTTCAATATAGAAAATACTGTGGTTATCCCACTTTCCCAGTGTTGCCCCAAAGCAATCCATGGCATTTGAAATATAAGCTATTTTCTTGTGATTATGTATGCCTTTTGTCTCTAAGAAAAGTTTGCACATTAATATTACATCTGAGTTATCAGTAAACTAGGCTCTCTTGCTACTACTTATCACATTCAGAATTCACTTTGGGACTCTTTAAAGGATGCATTTGTAAACAACATAAATCAAACCCTGACTACCGCAGTGAGAAATATTCAGCTCAATCCATGGGAATTTTGACTGGTGAATCACAAAAGGAAACTTCACACTTCAGAGTAAAAATCTTTGAGGCAGCAGAGAATTCTAAATTAACTACATCTAATTTCTTTTATATTCAGGATTTGTTTCCCTAATTCTAAGGGAGACAAATAGAGCAGGATAATAGGGAAAGACAGTGTCTTGGAAGTCAAGAGATACGGAGGACAATTCTCACTCCCTCTTTGCATAGATGGGTAAAGTGGTTAAGCCACTGAATTAATGCCTTTGTGTCTTTGTTTCCATATGAGTAAAATAATGAAAATGGAACAGTGTTTTCAAGCTATATGTATAACAACTGTTCCTTTTTTAATTTTGTTTCAATAGTTTGTGAGGAGCAGGTGGTTTTTGGTTACATGGATAAGTTCTTTAGTGTAAATGTATAGTAACTTTTCATTCATCATTGAAGATACACGATAGGATAAGGAAGTAGAAAAACTACTAGCAGCAAGAAGGCAGGGAAAATCACCTGTTGCTCCCTTTCCATTGTAGGAACTCATTTGTTTCTTTTGACTAGTGAAATTCTAGATATTTTCTTAGAATGAAACAATTCTGCTCTGAAAATATTTACAAACCACCTGAAAAAAATGAGCTATATTTTTCCAACTTTGGTGATAAATAGAAAAATTTAAACGTAGGCCAGGCGCGGCGGCTCATGCCTGTAATCCCAGCACTTTGGGAGGCCGAGGTGGGTGGATCACTTGAGGTCACGAGTTTGAGACCAGCCTGGCCAACAAGGAGAAATCCCATCTCTACTAAAAATACAAAATCAGCCGGGCATGGTAGTACATGCCTGTAATCCCAGCTACTTGGGAGGCTGAGGCAGGAGAATTGCTTGAACCCGGGAAGCGGAGGTTGCAGTGAGCCAAGATCACGCCATTGTACTCCAGCCTGAGTAATAAGAGTGAAACTCAGAAAAAAAAAAAAAAAGAAAAACTTAAATGTTAGTTGTTGTTAACCTCCAATTAACTATAAAATCCAGAAGATGTAATTGCAAAAAAACCCAAAAGATTCAAGTTTTATTGTAATGTGTGACACAGAAGTACAAGCTCATACAATGCTGCATGTGGAAATATGGCTAGCAAATCCTATTTGCTTGACGAATACTATTACTTTTGGTTAATGAAACATGCCTATTATGTGGCCTCTGGTTAAATCTTAGGTAAAACCAAAATTAACTACAGAGATCATAGGGAACACTGATTGTGGTTTTTTATGCTAAATTAAAAAAAAAATTCAGTTTTACAAATATATGTAATTCTTAAATATAATTGGATTGAATTACTTCTAATTGGTTTTGTGGTGTTACTGTATGGCTACCCAACTAGAACATAGCCTTTGTGAGTGAGGAAAGAAAAGAATAGCTTCAAATACAGTTGACCCTTTAACAAAACAGATTTGAACTACACGGATATAGATACATACGGATTTTTTCAAGCAAAGGCGGATCAAGAATACATTATTTCCTGGTTGTGAGACCCCGCTTTAAGGAGGGCTGACTTTTTGCACATGTGGGTTCTGCAGGACCCACTCAAGCTTGCGTGGATTTTGATTATACTTGGGCTGTCTTAAAACCAATGCCCACATATACACAAGGAAGATTGTATTCATCTTTATTCCTGGCCTTTTAACCTTTTCTTGTTGGCCTGTTTCTTTGTTTGGTTATTTAGAAGATCCAGTAAATGGTGCTTTTGTCTGTCTACTTTCGGACTTTATATGAATATAAGTGCTTTTTTCCTTAAAACCATTTTTTTCCTTTTTTATTATAACTATCTCAGCATCGCAGACTCAAACAGTGTGCACAAATTAAAACCAATGACTCCATGTGAATTTTATTGATTTCACCCTTCATTTTGTACTTCTATGATATTACTTTCATGTTAAAATGAAGACCATCCCAAAATAATTACAGAGAAAAGGAATAATGAATGCCATGATTAAGTTTCAGTGATTAAAGTATTCAGGGACAGAGAAAACACATAAATCTCTTATTCTTATCAGCTGCGTCCTTGAAACAGGAATAGCAACAAGATGTGTGTGATTGTGGGTGGATTTCTGTGCTCCTCTGAGGTCAGTTAATCTGTCAGTTTCACTCAAAGTCTGCCCTAATTTTAAACTGTCAATACTAAAGTGGACTTCAGCCTTGGATTTGCTTTAATCAGGAATATTAAATGTACAATTTTTTAATAAAGTCTAGCACTGAAAACCTGTTCCTCCCTTAATAATACAGCTGGGTCCCTGGGAGAACCAAAAGAAAATATATCCTCAGCTTCTCCCACTGCCTAAGAATCATTGACTGCTATTGGGCAAAGGTAATATCTGCTAAATGGAGGATGAATGAAAAGATGGCTTATGCCTCAAACTATGTTCACTGCATTTGTATCAGCCTACATGATTTGTATCATATATATTTTGGGTGGTTTTGTATAAATAGTGGAAAAATTGCTCTGGGCTTCTGGGGGGGGGAAAAAGACTAAGGTATATGCAAAGAGTGAAACTTAGGTCATAAAATTCTTGCCTTTGATTTCTAAGCAAAGGTAACGCAGCCTTTGTTGAACCATGTTCACGTTCATTTCATCAGGATTACAATGATGGCAAAAATAGGACACATACAATGTGGCTGCTTTGCCCTGGCTTGCATTATCTTACACAATTATATGCCACGTTCTGACTATATCTCTTTCTGCTATACTATGTTCTTAGGCTCTTTCACGGGTGAAAACAACATTGCACACGTTTCCTGCCAACTTAAATCTTTATTCACTCAGTTAAGCTCTTCTTAGTATGGAACACTGGCTTGAAAAATAACAGTCTCTAATGTTTAATGAAATGACATTTTTTTTTTGGTCTGAATTTGACCTTCCTTCCTTTATTTAAACTTCTGCAACTTTGATTTTCATTGCTGGAGACCAGCAGAGGAGAAAAAAAAAAAAAAGGCATTATTTTATCTACCTGTTACACAGGATCTCATTATTTATGAAGCTTTTATAGAGTTAATCCTTCCATGGAGTATTAACAAGTGATTTAAACTTATTCAACAGAATTCTGTTGGGAAACAAGACACCTTAAAATTGCACATAATTGTTCCTGGTTTATTCTTATACTTATATTCTACAGTTTAAACTTACTCCTTTAAAATTCTAGGAAATGATTAGTTTTGGACACATATAAAGTTATGACATTATTAATAGATATTTTTGGACAGGCAATTTATGAGCCTTTTTGAAATGATATAAACTAAAATAATGCTGGAAGCACAGTAAATCATTTTGGATGATTTAGTTATACAGCCCAGCCAGTTGGGTATATATTTGTTTAGAAATGAGAGATACAAAGCCTGCAGTATGATGAGTAATTTTTAACTTATCCTCCAAAACAAAATCACAATTATATTCAGCATGTTCTACTGAATAGGAGAGGAATTGGACAAATGAGGAATCTAAAACTAAAGTGATTTTTTCCTAATGAATAAGTAAAATATACTTATCTAAATACCTGCTTTCTAGCAATAAAAATTAGATTTATGTTAATAGGAATTCTACTTATTCAGAGCTCATGCTCATAGTGAAGATTTTCTAGTTTCCTTAGTTACAAATCTCAAAATGGTGTTCTACAATAAATGGTTTTCTCATTTTCTATGGGAACAATGCTTTGGATGAAAAAATAAAATATATTGACTACTTAATAATTTATTTTTATAATTA